TTTTAAAACAGAGGCGGAGGAAGCAAGAACCACGTCTTCCTTCCTGGATCTTCCCGAAGAAACGGGCACTAGTAGCAACCTTCAAGTTCTACCTGAAACTGTGAGGTGGCCTCCCCTGTGAAGGGGATGTCAGTACTTGGAAGCATTTGACAAGTACAATGACAACTATACCAAGTATAATCAATGTTTCAATTTCCAAGACCCTCAAATAGAGTGATATTATATTATAGGTCATAGCCCTTGGTTACCCTCTTTGAAAATATACTTACTTTATATATAAAGTCAAGTAGTCGGCCCGTAGGCCCATATGCGTTTGAAAATCCATCCCCTTTTTCCCGTGACTATTGGTCACGAATGTCATAAACCTCATGTAAATTTATTCATAGTCATAGGGCATTACCCTATTACGTAAAATAAATATCATAGAGCCTCGCTCGATTATATTACTATATGAAGCTAGAGCCTCGCTCGATTATATTACTATATCAAGCTAGAGCCTCGCTCCTAGTCTCCCTACATCGTGCTAGAGCCTCGCTCTTAGTCGCCCTACATTATACTAGAGCCCCGCTCTTAGTTTATCTACATTAGCTAGAGCCCCGCTCTTAGTCAATCTACACTAGCTAGAGCCCCGCTCGTAGTCAATCTACGTTGTGCTAGAGCCCCGCTCTTAGTCACGTTATTCAACCCCTGAGCAATTTCTATGCCTAGAATCGATTTAGTTTGAGTAGCCTTTAGGGCCTACTCCTAATATACTTAGAGTTCACACATCTCAACCTTAAAGTATCTCTTGGACTACTCAAGGTATAAATTCTCACAACCCAATTCATTTGGATTAATCTATTGTTTCTCATATTAACATCTCGGCTAGTGTTTCAATACTAGTTGAATAATCTTAGAACAACCGAGTTCTCAACCCATAGACACATAGTGCATTCCAATTGATCTTCCAATTCAAATATAATTTATTCTCAATATCAAAAATATCACTTTTACCCATTCATGAATTCTTTACATGAAGCAAAAGTATATTTTATCACCATATTCATAGTTCACTCAACTATCCTGACATCATATTCATAATCACCTAATCATACACAATTCATTCATAATTTGTATATAATACTTCATTTACCCGTAAGCAATAGTATTCTCATTTCGGCATTATTAATCAATAATAATCTATGAAAATCACATTTAAATACTTTAGGTAATCTTGTGAAATTAACCCAAAAATTATAAGCAATATAGTCAGTCATCCTCACCTTATGAAGTGCTGAAATAGTTGCCTTTGTTAAGCCCTTCGATCAATCTCCGTTCTAAGACGATTGAAGATGAAAATTCTGGACAGCAGCCAAAAGCCGGGCGGCTTTCGTGGTCTGCAACTACGAACAGCCTCCTATACTTGGCGGTTTCCGGCGGTTTCAACTCCTATCGATTTCACGACTCTTCTAAGTTAAATACCACCACTTTATAACAATAATATACACTTTTAAACGTGTAAAAATCATGGTTTAATCCACCATATGATTTCTTAAAAAGCATACAAGATTAATACTAGTTAAGGAATGGTTGTTGAGTTCTTACCTCACAAACTATCCATTTCTTCTTGGATTTCCCTTTCTCTTGCTTCCTCCAAGATTGAGTCTATGTTTAGGGCTTCTCCTAAACCTTATCTCTCTAATTCATACGTATGGTGTGAATGAGGATAAGTGAGAAACATCCCCTTAATCAAAGCTTCAATAATATGAGTAGGGTCTTAGGAGCTTTCCTATGTCCTCTCCCATCTTCCTCACACTATGTCCGCACACACACACACATTTCCTTGTCCCCCCTCCCTATTATTTGAGGGTTATTTGACTGGTAAAATATCCCAAGTGGGTGTAGAAAGTCCCTCCCAATTATTCCTGCTATTTCTGGCAGGTTGGGTCAAAATGGCACTTGTATTGTCAAACGTTTTTCCCAACTTTGGTTGGCATTTTATTGGGCCTCTATAATTATTACATTGACCCAAATAAATATTTGGTAGCTCATTCTCAATATTATGGACCCGATAAATAATTTAATTAATCACACATTAATTAAATAACTCATTCCGTTGCACAATGTTATTCACTAGAAAAATACAAATACATACTGAATTTTAAATCCAAGTGCGTCCGGGTGCGGTGTCACAAGCCCCCTTCTTACAAAATAAATGAAAACCTTAAAATGAAACGTAGAGTCAAATATTAAGTCTAAATTTGTTAAGAATTGCCATTACTGTATGTGAGTTGGTTCCAATATCTCCCGATGTCCGATTAAGAAACTTCTTTTGTCGGTGACAAATGCGCGCCTAACAACAAGACCTAGATAGGTTAAATAGAAAGCCAAGGATAACATTTCAGGATCCGGAGCCTCTACCTTGCTTTAAAGCAAGGCAGGGTGCCTGGCTCTTCGAGGCCGTTGATCGGGAATTGGACGACCGAAGATCTTGAGCTCCACCCCTTCACCGATCTCGAGGTCCTTCTGGTCGCTTCCCCTCCGTCGGATGCCGCAAGGCACTCTGCCTTAAGGCAAAAGATCCTGATCCAACATTTTAAGACCCAATAAATTTGGATGCCTATATTGAAGTCTCTTGCAGATGATACCTGTTGAGGTTTATTCCTTCAACCCTCGGGTCCAACACGTAAGCCCAAGGATTTCGAGTGGAGTAGGTGTGAGTAAACTAGCCCAACTAACAAGTGAGATGAATCAATAACAACAAGTAGCAAGTAAATGGTTAGGTATTATTATCTCTTAATAACTCCCTAATACAATACTTTTCGCTAAGGCTCCGACGGCCGTTCGTCTTACAGGGCAGTAGAAGTGCTGCGAGTAAGAATACTATAGCTAGAGTGCTAAGAATAGAAAGTTGCCAACCCTTTACAATGGAATAAATGCTTCTATTTATACCCGCCAATGGGCAGGTGGCTGTAGTGATGTGGCAGCCTGTGGACCGCTGGTGTCCCAACTACCAAATCTTTAGCATTAAATGCACTTCCCGCCAGAATCTAGGTTTCCCGCCGGATCAGTGGGGACGTTCGTCCACCGGGAAGTGAGTTGGATTGCTCCAAGTGACCCTTGAGAGATATCGGCTGTTCGTCTCCTGGCCTTGATAGATATTCACCGTGTGGACTGGGTTTTCTCCGATGACTACAGGCTTGCTCTGGGGACGTTCGTCGCCATCCCTGGTGGCCCGTGGTTCTGCTCCTTGTCCCTGCATAGACGTCCGTCGGGATGAGCCGCTGGGCCTGAGTCCCTCAATATCAGACGTTCGTCCATCCTCAGGGAACACGGGCCTGTGGGCTGGCCTAGTGCTCTAACTGGACGTTCGTCTGGCAAAATGGGTTAGTGGGCCGGATCTCGGCTTGGGCCATTTACCCAACACAAGTCCCCCACTTCTGATGTTCTGAGCATGCGCAGGACATAAGGAAGTATGAACCTCCCCGGAGTAGACGTCCGTATCTTGGTACTTGTGTTTATTGCATCTGGTGGAAACGTACGCTCGTGGTCATGGTGCTTGACAGCTGTTGACGGTTCAGGAAACGAGGTGACGGCTGATGTTGCGGCGGTGCCCTTTCCCGAGGAATTGTCATCATTACGTTCCCGTCCCACGCACAGCGCGTGGGCCGGAATACGCTCCTTGCCACGTGTCCGCTCCTCGTTGGTCCCCCCCGCCGGTGTCTCTCCTATAAATGCCGGGTTCTCCCTCTAAATTAGGGTTCCCAATTTCTGCTCTCCTGCTCTCGCGTTCCTGCAGCTCTTCAAGCTTTCTCCTGTTTTCAAGCTCGGCTAATCCCCCTTCTAAGGTAATTTCCATCCTCTGCTTCTTTTCCTTGTCTTGAATTCTCGCCGAGATGGTTTCGATGGAGATCTCGTCGAGTTCTGGTTCGGGTTCATCGGGTTCTTCCTCGGGCTCCTCCTCCGATTCCGGTTCACGCTCTTCGGGTGAGACTAGCACTTCCGGGAGTTCTGGCTCAGCCTCTACCGTGGGAACGGTCCGGGCCGGGGAGGCCCAAGATGTGGTTACTGCGGTGGTCCCTGGTGAAGAAGGTGCCGATTTGGGAGAACAAGGGAATATGGCCCTCGATGTAGTGGACCCCGTGGCTGATGCCGGGGAACGGGAGTCCGCCGGTGAGGACGAGCGTCCAGATGGGTATGACTCTGGGGTTGAAGCTCAGGACGGCTCCGATATTGAAATATTCGAACTTGGGCTGAAGATAGATGTGGAGAGGCATCTGTGCCCGATCAAGAATGTCCTGTGCCATGAGCAGATCTTCTCGCAGGTGGCCCTCAACAAACTGAAGGTATTCTTCCCCCCTCCGTTCGTATACAGCCTGCGTGGTGCAACCCACGTGATGAGGAGACGTCCAGGGATGGTTATGGTGCTTCTGGACTCCATCGAGGCTGGGCTGCGCTTCCCTCTTCATCCGTTCTTCGTGGAATTCTTCTGTTTTTACCAGATAGCCCCCGCACAACTCATGCCGAATTCCTATCGGTTCGTCTCCGCCTTCCTAGTCCGCTGCAAGGACAATGGGGTCACCGCCACTCTGGACTTGTTCCATTACTTCTACCGGCTCACCCCCCAGAATTCTGACGGCTTCCTGAGCATTGCTGCTCGTCCGAAACGGAGGTTGTTCAGCGGAGCACCGAGCTCCATCCACGACTGGAAGAATCGGTTCTTCTTTGTGCGGTACGCGGATGCTCGTCTGCCATTGCGTTGGAACGGCTACCCGCCCAAAATAGGATCTCCGGAGCTGACCAACGACCTGGAGGAGGACATTAGAAAGATCTCGACGGGCGGCATCCGGCCCTTAGATGACTTCTTAACCTTCGAGGCGCTCGCCGCGGCAGGAATAGGTACCGCCCATGCTCTTGGACATCTCCCCTTCTACGCTCGTCTCGGGGTATTGGGCGGTCCTCTCCTCCGAGGTGAGTTCTTACTGACGTTCGTCCATCTAACCCATTTCCTTTGTCTCTTTCAGGTCTTCCCCCAACCCAGGAGCAGATGAATCACGAAAAACTCCTCAAGAATCGGAAGGGGAAGGGCGCCGCGGCCGACGCTGCCCTTGCCAAGGCCAAAACCGTCCAGGCAGCTGACTCCAACTCTTCCGCCTCCCAGGCCGATCGTCGCACCGTGGAGGCGGAGCAGCACCTCATTGCCACGGTGTTGGCACAAGGGTCCCAGGCCCCAGTCCTTGATTCTGGCGTCCCCGAGGTTGTGGCGCCTCTGCAGGCCGTCCATCCCCAGGAGGGGGAGAAAGCGGACAAAAAGTCCAAAAGGCCCAGGGGAACTGGTTCTTCGGCCCTTGAAGGGCAAGGGGTGATCCTCCCCTCTCTCGGACGTCCGGCACATGACGTTTGGCAGGAGGTTGCCTCTCTGGCCGGCGTGGAGATGCCTCCCCGCACGTCTTCGGAAGCCTCCAATGCGGCCCTGGCCGCCGCTCTTCAGGTAAGATCTCGCTCCGCGCGTGTTGCCTGATCACTTTTATTCTAATGTTTTGAAGTCTCACCTCCCGCATCCGATTTGTAGGTCGGGCTCTCCGTTCTGCAGTCTGAGGCTGCCCGAGATGCCGAGGTCCTCCAGGCGAAGACCAAGGCAGATGCTGCTCTGAAGAAGGCGAGAGAGGCCGCTCGTCTTCAGGAAAAGGAGCTTGCGGCCAAGGATAAAGAATTGCAGGCCGCCCTGAAGGTAGCCCGTGAGTCCTCCGCGAAGCTCGCGGTCCTCGAGAAGGCCGGGTTCAAGCTCGTCCCAGCTCTCCCCGCTCCCAAGGACGAGGCCCCCGAGTGGCTCGTCGACGACACCGGGTACCACAATTCTGGGGCATTCATGATCGCCGCCCAGAGGTATCTCGGCGGCGCCTTCGGCGATGTATTCGCCGCCGAGCTGCAGAAGCAGGCGCCGAAGGATCGGCTCAAGTTTGGGGTCCGGATTCTGGAAAGTGCGCCCCTGGCCGAGAAGTTCCTATATGATGTTGGGGATAGCTCCTTCGTCATTGGCTTCAACGAGGGGGTGAAGGCCACATTGCCGGTCTTTGCCGCTCTTCAGGGCCCCCGATTTGATCTGGCCGAGCATACGTCAGATCCAGAGCTGATCCGGGCCGTGGGCAAGCTGAAACGGGACGCCCGGCGGGAGGAGGCCAGAGCCAGGGGGGAGGTCCCAGAGCCCCCGACCCCCGAGCCCGAGCCCGAGGAGGAAGAAGAAACCATCCCTGGGGGATCCCGGCCCATTTCTCCAAATTTTGTATAATGTAGCTCGTAGTTTGTTTGTTTTGATCCTGTGCTTATCCGGCCAGTAGAGCCGAAGAATATACAACTCTTTTTTGCCTTATCATTGTCTCTACGCTCATGAACTCTTTTTATCTTCTTTCTTCGTTGGTAGTTTTTCGTTTTTTCTCGGGGACGTTCATGTCCATAACTCGCCCTCGCGTCCCAAACTTTCGGGATACGAACGCATGCCTGAGAGCACCCCACATATGTTCCATCCCCAAATCCGTTCGTCGGAAGGAAGACGTGCGGGGATGCGGCGGTGTTCTTTCGAATCAGTTGGTGAAGACGCCCGTCTCTTGGCTATTTGCGTAACCATTCGTGGGGTCGTTCACGTCCATCGGGATATGAGCGTATGCTAGGGAGCACCACATATGTAACCACTCCCCAAGACGTACGGGTTGCGGCCGTAACCTCCCGGACCAGCGTTGGTGAAGACGCTCATCGAATGTGCTTCCCCGAATCATGCCTTGATGGAGGAGATCGCCGCTTCCGGAATAGCGTACCCTTTGGCGCCTGTGCTTAAGCCAGGTATCCGTCTCGGACGGGCATCTGATGTGAACATGGGACCTACGAGCATATACGCACGTCTTCCTGTGAATTTGGCCTGCAGGTACGCTCTCTGCTTACCCCTTCGGGGGACGTTCGTGGCATCAAGCCAGACTCCTTCGCAGTGACTGTGGGCGGTAACATCGAGGAGCCTTTAATACCGCGGTAGGTACCGGTATCCGGATGCCACGTGCTCCACCGTGATTGGCGCAACCTCGCGGTGCTGCCTATAAGTACCCAAGGCCTTGTGAGTTCCCCATTTGCTTCATCTCTAGCTCTTGTGCTGCACGATTACTTCCTCTCTCTAGCTTTCTTTGATACCGCTTCCAGCGCCAGCACCCGTAGGTACCGAACGTCGTCATGTCTTTGTCCATATCAGGGTCCCATGTTATTGATAGGTTCGACGATGGGTGCTCCTCCGGTGATGACCTGGAGTTCTATGAGCGGGGTATGCCACCATGGCCCCCCCGTCATCACCTGAATTTTTCCGGCGTTCGTCGTCAGCGCCAGCGTCTCTTGAACGCCGACCGTCGGTTGATAAGCCAATGGTTCCTTCCCCCAAGGGGTTACGATGATCGGATTCTGCGTAATCCAATGCGCCATCTGCCTGGCTATGTGGTGGTCCACTTGGACTCTGTCATAGCCGGCCTCCTGTTTCCCCTCCACAGCTTCCACATAGAGCTTTTTAGGGGCCTCCGGGTGACACCCGCTCAGTTCGTTCCCGCTGCTTATAGGATCATCGCGGGTTTTATAATCAGATGTCACAGCGTTGACGTGACCCCCACTGTGGACCTGCTGCAACACTTCTTCCGGTTATCTCCCTTCGGACGTACGGGGTACCTAACCCTGATCGCGCGTCCGTCCATGGTCCTGTTTTCAAACAACGCCGGGAATCCGGACGGCTGGGAGGAGCGGTTCTTCCTTGCCGAAGTGGGCTCTCCGATGCCATTCTCCGATAGGTGGAACGCCTATCCGGTGAAGTCCATCCCGCCGCCCATGACGGATGAGGAGCTCGGCTATGCCAAGCGCATAGCTGGTCTTGGCGTTCAGAACCTCCGGTCGCTGGTGGCCGAGCCTTTTAAGGCCCGGGCCGGACTAGGTGCGTCTGTTTGTACTTGCATTGCCCTGTCATCCTCTAGTTGTTACGATTCTGAGCGTTTTGATTTTCTTCCTGCAGGAGTTTTCCCGATTATCTCACCTATGGGGCGTACTCACATTACTTCGCATGCCCGTGGCCGCGACAACAGGCATGAGGACAAGGGCAGGAAGCCGCTCGTCCCCAAAGTTGAGCCTCGGGCGAGCAGGATGCGGTCAGACGACACGCCAGAGGCCGGGGCTTCGAAGAGGCTCCGCATCGACGGTACCGCCTCCAAAGCCATCATAGTGGCTGATGACTCCGACGGTGAGCCGGGAAGTCCCTTGAAGCGGAGGCCTCCCTCCCGGAACAAGCCCCCTGTTTCCCCTCCGGCCAATTCTGAGGTCCGTCGACTTGGGGATGAAGATGTCCATGCTACCAAGGGCTCTGACGATGCTCGTCCCCCTTCGCCCCCAGAAAACAATGGGTCCTCCCTTGGCCTTATCGAATTCTCGGGGGTTGGCCCTCGCAAGGAGTCGATGATGCTCTTCGGCCAGACCGCATCTTCGATCTGGTGCAGCCTCAACCTCAAGGTCCCCCAAGATTTCGCCGCCCAGGAAGCTCCTGAGGATCTCCTGGAGTGTGGGCAGAGCACCCTTGACAAGGCCGGATTATACTTCCACCGGGCTCGGATGGCCTTCGAGCATCAGGGCAAGGAAATGGCCCGGGTGCGGGCCGAATGCGACGCCCTTTTGAAGAATGCCAAAGGCAGGGCCGGAACGCTTCAAGAGAAGGCTGACGCCTATGACAAGCTCGTCCAGGAGAGCATTTCCCAAAAAGAACTCCTTCGGAAACAGGAGGCCGAGCTTGTGGACCTTCGCAGCCGGTTGTGGGCCGTGGAAAAGGCAAAGGTGGAAATCCGCCGTACGGGTGTGGATAATCACGTCCCTATCTACGAGGCTGATGTTTCGAAGATCAAGGAATCTGGTTCCATTGAGTTCCAGAAGTCCAAGGCCTACACTGGTGCCATCCAGACTATGGCCAGAAAATTCCTTCCGAGGTTCGTCGGCGAGTTCTTGGCCACCTGCCCGGATCCTTATCTAGATGGTATCAAGCTACTTCAGGCCACCCCCACTGGGGAGCGCTTCCTCGATGATCTTGCCGACGATACTTATCTCAAGGGTATGGTCGGCCTTGTGGCAGAGAATCTCCCGGCCTTTGAGCGTCACTTCGGGGCTCCTTTCGATCCTGCGGCGGCTGGCTTTGATTCCCTGATGGTAGACGCCCATAAAGGGGCCCTTGAACTGCTGAAGGAGCGCAAGGAGCGTGAAGAAGCTGAGGCCAGGGAAAAAGCCAAGCATGTTCCCTTTACGGCCCCCACTCCGGACGCTGGCCAAACTTGATTCTCCGTTCATAGTCTCGCACTTGCACTCATTTTTTCATTATATACATTGTACCTGGTATATTGTACTTTCCGGTCATCAGTACCGAAGAATAAAAATCATTATTTGCTCCATGTCTCTGTCTCTCTCTCTCTTTTTTTTTTTTTTTTTTTTTTTTTTTTTTTTTTTTTTTTTGGAGTCTTTTTATCGTTCTTTGCCTCTCTCTAGCTTCGTGGGTACTTGTCTCCTGGTTTCGTAGGAGACGTTCGCCATCCCGGCCTCGAGAAAGAGCAGGTTTATCCGCGTCGGGATTCCCTATCTCCGTTCGTCCCCAGCCGCGAACTACTAGTCTTCTGGCTTCGCAGAAGGCTTTCGTCATGCGCTCATCAGGGGGAAGAACTAAGCTTCGTTCGTCCTTGTCGTGGTCCTACTAATCTTCTTACTTCGAAGAAGACGTTCGGTCATCCAACGATCGCAAGGAGGTCACTGGTTTATCCACGTCGGGATTCCCTGCTTCGTCGCCCCATACCCGTGGCCCTACTAACCTTCTGCTTCGGCAGAAGGTGTTCATCGAATCCACAGGTCATGGGAGGAACTGGTTTATCCTGCCGAGGCTCCCTTTGGTACGTCCAGCCTCCCCCACGTTCCTACTAACCTCCGCATCGGGAGACGTTCGTCACGTGGTGAAGGAAGATCAGGCACACCCCGCCAAGACTCCCTCTCTCCTAGGAGCTTCTCTCTCCCCTTCTCCTCTCTTTTTTTTTTTTTTTTTTTTTTTTTTTTTTTTTTTGAGGAGGAAATCGTTTCAATAGCACTTCGGCTTTTAATCTCTCTGTAAGGAAGTGAAGAACAGAAGTAATCCTTTTTATATAGAGACAACGATTGGTGGTGTTACATGGTACTTCGACCAAGGCATTACAGCGATATCTCTCTAATTATTGGTAGAACTTCTTCAAGTGTTCGACATTCCAAATCCCAGCGTGGTTCCCTTCCAATGTGTGGAGAAGGAACGTCCCCTGGTTGTATCTTCTCATGACCCTGTACGGCCCCTCCCAGTTTTTGGCCATTTTGCCTCCTTC